CTGGAGAAATGGCAGAGGACGAGGGCAGAAAAGAAGATATAAGTGCTTATTTATCAGGGTTACATGTTTTACTCAAAATCTCAAGTACTGTCTGTTATCACAGCTGTGGCTCAGGATGCCCTTGGAGACTTACTAAAACATAAGATAAATGATACTTGGTTATGGTCTAGAAAAAATTCAGTTCCCCTGATCCCTCTATTTGGGGGCTTTCTAGAAGTGAAGATTGCTGGGAAGAAGGATCATATTCTCTCTTCCAGTTTTTCACTCTAGTAGGTGACAACTTTCAGGGCCCTAGTTATCTTTTCTTCTACCTATACTATTTCCCAACGGCTGAGGTTTCATCTGTTTTCCATGTTCAGTATCAGCAACGACAGTAACTGGTTATAATTGATCATTCTTGAGGCCTGGAACTGAGTCACTTATTAACTTTCTCTTTTCTAGGATATGTATAATTCCATCTTGTTGTCATCCTTCCTACTTTTCTAAGTTTATCAGTGTTCTCATCCAGTCCTTTCAAATCTCTAACAAAGCTCTCATCTACCTTCAAGTTTCTGTTAAGTGTCTCAGATAATAATGCCCCATGTTTACTACAGATAGGTCAACTGTAGATTTCTAGAGACTTTATCATCCAATGCATAAACTGTCCAAATCTTTTGCTCATTCTTGTTTGGTTTCTTATAACTAAATATCTGCCTTTCAATCATTTCAAAGCTTAATGCCCGAGAATAAAAATGTGCAGAGATCGGACAAGAAAATAAGACTGAAACCTACCCAATGGACACCCATGACTCCGTACAGTTCACAGATTAACCAAGTGATGCAACCAAGATGCATGTGTTCTTAAGTAATGAAAAACAGAGTCATGGGAATTTCAATCATTTTATTTTGGTTCTAGAATTTTTAAATTTATTTTTATCCACAAGAATTATGCAAGAAGAAAGAATCTCACCGTGAATCCACAGAATTTGGATACTCCCTTCTACATTATCAGCCATAAGAAAGAGACCTGGCATTAAGTAGCTTCCTGACAAAACTTCCTTCCCGAATATAAATGTATCAATAACTTCCTGAGATATCACCACAACATCCTCTAGATGTCACCTTGAGAACATTCCAGGATGGAAGATGATTGCTTTGCACTACACAGACAACTTGAAATAGAAACATTTAAAACTTTGCAAGCTTTGATCAATGGGCTGGTAAAAATTTTTTGCCAATTATCTCAAAGATTAAGTACTGCTCCAAATTAAGTTTAATGCATAAAATGATCTAATTTCTCTTTCTGGGACATTTCCTTTAGGGCTTCTCCCACCAACAGAAACAATAATCTTCTAAAAAGTATATCTGATGGACACTGCTTTCTCTTGAATATAACTTTTCCCCAAGGTCCTCCCAAAACCTTTTCCAGTTTTTGAGGCTGCTCATTTCATCACCTGAAACATCTGACAAAGGAGAGTGTAGCAAAGTTTAAAAGTAGAAATTAATTATTCCTGGAAAGCTAAGAGCATTTAATTACAGATGATTACCCAATCAATTGTTTCTCTTCAATATGCCAAGTCTATAGCAGGCCAATGACTGACTCACTTGGTCATGTGGTTCATTCAAACCAAAGGAGCTGTTGGGTAATTAATTAAAGATTCCAAACACCTGAGTACATTAATTCACTCTGCAGACTATGGAATAAATAGAGGAAGACTTTTACAAGTGACTTCAGGGAAATCTGGGTTATCCTAGGTGTTATTTCCCTTAATCCAGACAGACTTAGACTGCGGGCCAGACTGTCAAAAATTACAAAAAAACTGGGAAAATTAGTCATTCTCTTATAAAGTAGTAGAGAAGGTTTGCAGAAACAGGGAGCCACACAGAGAAGTGGAGAGTAAGAGCTAACCAACTCACAGCATTAAAATTTTTCGTGACTCTCTGAGGCATAGGTCTACTGAAGACACGGCTAGCAATCCCTACTGCTGTGGTATCAGTCTACTTGGGACAAAGGGGCAGTGGTTCAAACAAGCACTCTGATTACTAGCGGATAACTTCCAGGGCTGTGTGCGGCTGCGTGCGGCTGCTGGCAGCTGACGGCACCTGCCAGAGAAAGGCAGGAGCAAAACAACTTGTGGTGGAATGCTAAAAGAGTTCCTTAAAAATAACCTTAATTCTAGTTCCATGGGGAACTGCTTTTAAATACAGAAACAGCTTCCTGTATTCCTGTTATAAGAGAGAAAAAAAAAAAGTGTGACAGAGAGAGATACTTATTAACCTTATAATAAGAACACATGCTGCAAAAGCACCTTTTTAGAAGTATACACAAAAGTAATTCTAAAATAGGAATGTGACTTTACTTATGCAACATTCCCAAATTATCCTATTCAGGAAATGTTAGCAATTGTATATGGCTTGATGGAGAAAAATTACACGTTAAGCAGAAAAATTACACATTAAGCAAAATTCCATAATACCAAAAAATGCTCAATATTATGAAACATGCTTATTAATTAGAGGTGTACTATGACACCTTCTCAAATATTGCTAGGTGAAAGCAGAAGCAGCAATTCTATATTTTCAAAATTTAAACTTACTTTTCCCCTAGAATAATATTTTTGAACAATAAAATTACATTTATTGAGAAATTTAAAAAGAACTGAACGCAGGTATTCTCTATCTTGACTATGTACCTAAAGGTTATACTGAGTCTCAAATACTTCAGGTCTTTTTTATTTCCATTACAATTTTTTTATTGATAATAATAGACTCCCACGATTTACCTACATTTTCATCTGATCTGTCTCTTGCCCGATAATAAGCTTTTACAAATATGCAGTTACATGCAATTATTATGTGCAAGTAACTAAAGGGAACTGGTCCCTGATCAATGAAAAATAGGAGTAAGTCATTTTTTTGGCAAGATTGTTAATCATTATTTTTTTTAACCTGAAGTGTCAATCATCTTTTTGCTCTTAAGATCAAAATTACAGCATGCAACTAAACAAAAATTTTACATTAAGTCTTTTGTTTTAAAATAATCTAGTAGAGAAGATAAGAAATCAGGGAGAAATAAACATAGGTGACTCCTGGAACTAATCTTATATTCACACTCTACTTGTGATCCTGACAGACAGCTCCAGCCCTCGCCCTTAGGGTTCAGGCACCCAGAGCAGGTTAGATAAATGGCTATTTCTAAACCAGGAAAAGGGGGAAGAGCCACCTCCTCTTTTGTGTTTGGAATGGGCCTCTGTCTCCATCTAATATGCCAGCTTACTCCTCCTTCCCTTAGAAGTTAGAAGCAGTTGCTCCCATCCTACAGTTGCAATAACTGAAACGGCAAGAGGTTTATGGGATGGCCCACATTAGCTCAGCACTCAGTACTAAGGTATACTTTAAGCTGTTCTGTCTATGGCTAGGGTCAAAAGGACAAGTCACAGAAGGGAAATCTAGATATAACTAAGAATCAAGACCTGCCAGGTATGGGCAAAGACGAAAGAGAAGGGACTCAAAATTAAAAACAAACCGAGTCAACACAAGCAAATTAAAGACATTTAGCAGTGTTGGAGAGGGTTCTCACAATCTAAAGGCACTCTTGACATTTAATCCAATGCCAAGAAAAGCCCATAAAAGTAGTTTATGAAGCAATGCCAAGGCTCAGACGTCTGGCCAGACTTGAGGCTCAAAGCTCTCCCTTCAAAAAACCACCCATCTGAATAGGTAAGGTGGTCACCTTTGCCTGACTCACTGCAAAGCAGGAATTGTGACATTAACCTTGTACTACTTGGGAGCCATTTCATTTGCAAGATTGTTGTCACCAAAAGGGACAAGTATTTCAAATGGAAGGCAGTGACCCTGCAGGGTCATCATCAATCACCTGGGGTCAAAGACCTTCCAAATTGTAAGGAGATGTAGGGGGTAAGGGAAAGAGGGCAGAGAAAAGATCAAAAGGCCTTTGATGGGAGTTATCTACCTACACAACAGAACCTGCAAAATGGAACTTCTCTGGAGTTTGAAACTTTGCAGCCTCTAATGTGAGAGGTTTCAAGAAGGGTTTATGTTTTTTACTTTTCAACTTGGGTTCTTAATTTGAAGACTAGAGTCAGCAGATGGCAGAAGAGGCCTAGAGGCATGGGTTTACGTGGCAGCCAGTTTCACAGTCTGCTTCAGCAGAGTACTAAACACTATTTTCTTCTAGAGCAGGCGCTAGCAGGGGAGCGGAGGGAAGATGCTGTCAGCTTTGCAAATGCCAAATCGCAAAGTGGCTCAGCTGGAACCTCCTTGTGATGCTATATTTTTACTGATGCAAGCACACTTCTTTTCTCTTTGTAGAAGGCAATCACAAGAAGTTGGGAAGTCAAGTCATATCTCCCAAGACCAATGCCAATGGACAAGCAGTAAGGGTCTGTGGGGTCTTTTCCATTAGTGATGGCACACACTGCTACTGTTACCATTGCTTAACGAACCTCAGATGATTAAAGGAGCAGGTGGAGGGAGAAGGATTACCTGGTGAGAGTGGTGTGTGAATCAACTCCGTTGGGTACAGAGTCAGATGACGGGGCAACTTTAAGTCAGAAAGAGGCGATAAAGGAGGACTCCACTGAACCTTTGAATACCTGCTGGACAGATGTTTTTGTGGTATATTCCAGGAGGATCATTAATCCACCCACTAGGCTTTGTCCCATTCCCAGGATGCCTTTCCCTATTAGCTGGTAAATGTAGTACTTCCAGAACACAAACAATATAAGCCTTTTAAAAACTCACTGAAAATTTTATTAAAATAATTTATTATTTTAAGAAATAAAACATACAACAAAGCAATATAAATGGCTTTCAGATTATGTGCTGTTTTGATTAGCCATGCTCTAGATGCCACCAGCCTACTCCCATTAGCATGGATAATTGAGAATCTGCTGTATTTCCATTTTAATGCAGTCTCTAATTCATTTCAGACTCAGAGATGGGAAAGCAAACCTTTGACTATTACTTCACCTTACATGAGTTTCACACATGGCACTAACCTCTATACAATCCAAAGAAGCCTTCATAACGTAGTACTTTCTTAAAACAGTCAAAGCTGTTTTTATACATGAGTTCTCCCACAAAAGAGCCAGTTGATCGTTGGTTTTGCATTCGAGTTTTTACAAGATCAATAGGATATACGGCAGTGGCTCCAACAGCTGAAATTAAACAAAACCAATGTTTCAGATGGAATTAAAGTAAGCTGGAGGAAAGGAAGAGTTGGTTAAAGTCAAAGACAAGACTGAGGGAAAAAAACAAATTCTGCATATTACAGATTTAAAAACAGTATTACCTTTCTATACCCTTAATTAACAATTGTGGATTTTCATTCAAGTATCCCTGATAAAAAGATGTCATAGACAGTTTAAATTAAAAGCACATCAATAGAGTTAACCTCATTATTAACCTGTCTTTAGAGAGCCTGTCTACAGATCAGTAAGAGAAAAATGCCATTTGTAAATCCTTGATCACATACACTTACGGAAAAAAAGTTCCCCTTGCTCATGTCTCAGCTCATTGGTACAGACTGGCAACTGACTTGGGGAAAGCCTAAAGAAGGCTTTGTCTTTTAACATTTCTAGGTCGAAAATCAAAGAAAAGATAAGAGGAATAATAAAAGTGAAAATTTTTGCACTCATTCATGACGAACCTCCAGCAACAGAACCCAGACCAAACCTGTAGGCTGACTCTGCAACTTGCAGGAGAACTGGCCGAGCTGAATCACCTGAGGCTTTCTGCTTTGTGTGCACAGCAATCAGAGGGCAGGAAACCGGGAGACAGAAAAGGGGACAGAACAAAAATGAGCGCATTGTTTTTAAAAATTACTAATTGAATTCTAAATCCATCATACAACTAAAATGTCAAAGAGGAAAACAGGGTTAGATTCCATAAGTTCTTATTAATGAAAAGATTTTAGGGCTGTTAATGCTTAAAATCAAATGTGAACATAATCAAAGCCATTCTTCACCAAAAATAATGTTGTGACCCTATTCTCTAATGTTCAATTCTCATTAGTGATCAAAGAAATGTAAATTTAAAGACATCAATGAGACATCATTCTTCATCAATCAAATTGGCAGGTTTTTCATTTGTATGTATTTTTGTTTTTGTTTTGAATGGCAATACCCAACCTGGCAAGAGTTGATTAAAAAGGGCATTCTCAAACCTGTCATTAAACCAAGTATAAACTGAGGAAAATTTGGTAATATACACCAAACACTTAAAAAGTACATAACCTCTGACCCGACAATTCTATTGATAAAAAGTTAGGCTAGAAAATAATCATGCAAATAAACAAGGGTCAACCTACAAGAATGTTAAAAAGCAGTATTCTTTTAAGAGCAAAAATTCTGCAAATAGTCTAAGCATCCAATAATGGAGAACTGGCTAAAAAATAATACTATAACACTTTTAATAAAAGTGTGCTATTAAAAATGATATTGTAAATGAATATCTGATGTTAAGAAAAATGTTCATAAGGTATTATAAAAGAAAGAGTAAAAAGAGCATAGTGGGTAGACAGGGAATTGTTATATGATTTTTTTAACCTTTTTAATGAAATATTTCATGGTAATTTAAAAATAATTTAAGACCACACAATATGATGTCATTTTAAATTAAAATTATTTGTGGGTGTATATACTAACACTTTGGCATCCCCACAATCCAGAGATATTCAAAATGTTTACAGTGGCTATAAGTAGGTAGTTGTGTTACAGCTGATTGTTACTTTGTTCCTCTTTTTTGTCCATTTTTCTAAATTCATCCTTCAGGTCAGTAAGTTGTTGTTTTGTTGTTCTTTTGACCTATTTTCCTTACAGTGTTTTTGAAGCCAAAACATTTCAGAGTATTGTACTTCTCTGCCTGAATAAATAAAATAGTAATTTTATGTCACACAGAGTTGTCAAATGAGGGTGGCATATAGTCAGTGCTTAATAAATACCTGTTGAATGAATAAATACATTCAGTAAAATTTGTTTTTCAAAATCCGTAATAATTAAAATCAGCGAACAATGAAAATAATCACCAACCCCAGTTATCAACCCACTGAATTTTAGTTGCTGTCAACATAACACAATTCTAATACAATGAGATCATTTGGAATCTCCTTCAAAGTCATTTCACTGAGAATAGCTTTACATAGAAATAGGCATCTGAAATAGTGTAAAATATTTCTGCCAATTCCATGGGTTGTTTCCAACTCTATCCCTGTATAGATGGAAATCAACAGCACCTTCATTTTGACAGATACATCCAAAAGAAAAGCACTATTTATATGGATATAAATGCACAATACTTAGAAATGTTCTGGCATCAAAATGAGTAAAAATACACTGAAAATAATGGGGGGTGGAGGGGAAGGAGCCTACCACTACCACTAATTCCTCATCTAAAAGATAAATGAATCCAAAAAGTTAATCCAAACAGGGTAAGAATTTTTACAGCTCTTTCATTCATCTCATGCATTTGGAAAGAGTATTCAGATTTAACTTTTCTGAAGCTAGAAATGTAGCATGCTCTTGAAATGAGACAAGGAAGCCTCCCACTCCTTCACCCCTCTGTCCTGGATAAACTCTACGAGTGTTGCACAGAGCTGGAACAGGCAGCCCTGTGCCCACAGGTGGATAACCTCCCTTGTTTGAATTTGTCAGGCCCACTAGGGCTCATGCAATAAAAAGCATATTCCAGGCGAGGCTGAGGCGGTTGTGAATTGCTCTAAACCTCTAAGCAGCAGCCAATCATTTCCTGCTGTAAATCTCATCAATCCAGTCTAACCCTTTCATGGCCAGTATCAACAAGCACCCAACATAAACTCTCCAAAGCTCTAAAGGGCATAAAGGAAAAACGGTGGGAGATACCATTGCCAGCCGGAGAGTAGGAGAGATCTAAAAAAAAAAAAACTTCTCTGCTTTTCTTAATCCTCAAATTTCTACAATAGCTGGTGGCCCTGCAGACAAAGAGATAATCATCTCGTAAGCAGTGTTTAAAATCAAAGGGAGGGGAGCACACCTCTGCTTCCACCTCGCACGTGATCATGAAGCTCTTCCTCCCGCGCTCGGGGAAATCGGCTTCCTCTTTTAACCACGGCCAGCTGGTTTTTCAGAGGTGCCCCGTTAGGATTTACTGAGCACACACCCAGTACTTTGACTTCCATGCTGCACACAAAACTCACCGCTGCATTCAGGGTGGGAAAGAGCTCAAAGGAGGGGGTACTGGCTCGAGGCCTGACAGTCCTAAAAATGTAGCCTGCATCAACCCATTGTGGTCAAACTGGCGTCTCTGTACAAACCCAGAGCTCCGTGCCAAAAACTGTTAAGTCTCACAGGATTCAGAGATGGCTTTGCCTAAGGAGGTATTTTTCTAAAAACGACGCTTGTCTTGTCTGTGAGTGGATTTATTTTACAAACACTGTGTAAGCACAACACACGCTATGAAGGCTTTTCTTCTCTAATCCTGATCTGTAGAAGGCTGAGCAAGAGGTAAATGAAGAGGTCCCTGTCTTAAGTTTCTGACTCCTTCAACTTCAAGAGATTGGTTTCTGTTAACCAGAAAATAAAATTTAGCATTCCTAAAATTGTTTCCACTTAACTTATGAATCCTTTCACAGAGAAAATAGGTCTCAAAGCCTTCAACTATGACTCCAGACTAAACAAAATTATCTCATTTTGAGAAAAACGGAAGGCACGACAGCTAGACAATGCGCTGACGAAGTGCCTCTCCAGGCAGCAAAGCCGGCTTTCGTTTGGCAGTGCACAACTGCTGATGGGGACAGGGACACCAACACAGGACGCCTTCCCCACATCTCTCAACACCAGATCTAGGGAAGAAAGAAGAAAGGTCTTCTACGTGTTCTTGCAGTGTTAGACTTCCAGTGCAGGTAGGAAATCATCCTATTTTTGAAAGAGATAAACAAATGCTAAATATCTGTTCATCAGAAGAACATCTAAGTAATTTTTCAGTTTTTGGAAATTGTCTGGATTTTTAGTACAAAATGGAAAAATGATAAGTCAGACAGTAATGCCAAAAAGGTAACTGTAAGTGGAAAGAGGTTGAGGTAACATACCAAAGAAACCCCAGGAACCAGGGCTGCCCCTCTTAGCTCACCTGCCTCTGGGCCTCAGCCAAGTGAAAGGGCAGAGTTCCCTCTTCCAGAGGAGCGATTCGCTCAATGTCTGCTAATGTCATACGTCTGGAGAGAAAAACACAAGCAACAATAACACCACCAATTTAGTACAATTTGCATTATGGAATTTCAAAATGTTCCTTTTTTCATTTCCCATATTTCAGCCTCACCTTTAATTTGGCTTTTTTTCCTCCTGATTGCTGCCCTGTGCCTACCCCCACCTCTTAACCTTTTATTAAGCTAATTAAAAAAAAAAAAAGCCATCTTACCCCCTTGGCTCATATAAATCTGCTAACTGAAACAAGATGTCAACTTCCATGGGTGTAACTTGACCAAATCTCTGAGCTGCCAGAACAAACTCCTCTGCATGGAAAAAGAGTTAAAAGGGAGAGATTCAAGAAGGAATAGCCACTAAATTCAGCATTAACTTAAGGCACTGGAATGAGTGAACGTCACAAAACTTTATTGTCATCAGTCATAGAATTTAAGTCAAACCAAATAGGGTAAGAATTTTTGCAGTTCTTTCATTCATTTGGAAAGAGTATGCAAAATATTTTAACATTTAGTTTAAAAGCTTGGCACCATCTGAAGCCTTCGAATAAATGACACAGGATGCAAGTTGCAGGTGAGGGAAAACAAGGAAGCATTTATGAAACTTCACATGCATAAGGTCCCAATAGGTTATATTAATGAAGCTATGAAATTCCTAAGGGAATTCACTGTTTTAAAAAAAAATTAAAATGCTAAAAAATATCTTATTCCAAGTTTATAGATCAACTTACATTGTCACCAATACAAATTTATGGAATTCCTCATATACTTCTATTCATTTATTTTTGGGGGAGTAGTTGGCTGGTATGGAGATCTGAACCCTCGACCTTGGTGTTACAAGGCTGTGCTCTAACCAACTGAGCCAACCAGCCAGCCTCTCATATACTTCTGATGGTCACTTTAGAGGCTGCCAGTTCAGCTCAAATTCTAGCATGATTTGAACACATTTAAGAACTTTACATTTTTTTCCTCATTCAAAGGCTGTCTTCAGTTTATTTAAAACTTGAAGATTGTTTTGCTTGCTTTTGTTTGTCTGATCAAAGGATGGAGAACACACAATGGTTAATATGTGTCAATGGAATAGAAAAATCTATAATATAAACTCCTGGTTGCCTTCTTCTGCCTAATAATACACCAAGATACCTGCAGAAAAGATTTCAGATATATTCTCACTCACCCTTAGTCACCTCTACATCTTTCCTGTTGCCAGCCAGAGTGCTGTAGATCTTTCTAATGAGTTCCATGTTGTTAAGGAGCGAATTAAATCCATTAAAATAGGAGAAACTAACTTGATGGGATGTGGTACCTCCAGCAGCCTCAAGTAAGTTAAAAATAGGAAAAAAAGAAAAATAAAAGATTTATAGATGAAGAAGTCAGAAGTACGTATATCTAATCCTAGTTTAGAAGTAATTCAGAATTCATGTATAAGAAAAAATGACCATAAGTATTTTTCTTTTACATTAAAAAAAAAATCTATAAATGATTTTTAGAAGTAGCTGCAACTAATCATGACCAGAACTTGTTCTCTCCACATACAACTCCTAGAAGACTAAATAAATATATGTGTAGGACTATACCAGGATCAGGAGTAATTTACAGAGATCAAATTTCAATTGGAAATGCTTTATAAGTTGGTTTATTTCATCTAATGAGCATATCTTGAAGGCTATACATGCAAAACTATATTACACACATGCATGTGCTTATACATGGAAAACTATATCAATGCAAACATACTATGAGAAGTGGTCAATCTAACATTAATATCAAAACTTGTCATGTTACTTACAGCTAGCAATAAATAATCATTTAAGTACAGACTTTACATTGGTGGGATTTCTAGCAAACAAGCACATTATGGTAAAATTATGAGATGTCATATGCTTTGATGATCAGAATTCTGATAATTGTAATTTTTAAGAAACCATATTTCTCCATGGGGGACAAGGCAAACAGACAGCATGTCCATTATGAATGAACTTCAGTTTGGGGTTTCAAATTCTATTCTTCCTTAACAAGGCAAAATATTTTTATTAGGAAAGCACTTCTTTATAAGGTAACAACCACATAAATCTTCACTTAGTAATCATTTAAAATAGCTGACATGAGAGTTTAGTATGGAGTAGAGAAGGGGGGGCCAAGAAAAGGAGTTAGGTTAACACAGTGCCAGAGAGGAAAAGGTCTTGTCAGAATGCCATGTCTCCAGAACAAGGCACCAGGGGAAAAAAAAGAAAGTCGAAATGCTACCCTGAGGATTTCCTGCCTATGGTGAGCATTGTGGGAAACCCAGATGATGGTGAAAATACTCAGCCTTTTCCCTGGGATTAACAAAAGGACAGTTACCACTGGGTAATGGTCCCAAATTTAAGTGATTATCAGAATCATCTAGAACCTTTACAATTTAGATCTAAGACCTCACCACGTATAGATGGTGAACCATAGGCCTAGAAGAGACCTTGGAATCTGTATTTTTAATGCTTATCCCTGGTGAATTTGATGTTTCATGACCAAAGCTTGAGAAACACCACCACAGACTGTTGCAGGACACCCACGGGATGGAAGCTCCATGACAAATCCCAGGGCTATGCCATCACCTGTGCCATTGTAGCCTCAATACACATGGTGAATGAATGACTGGATATAAGGCTTGGAGTTTCTGTCCTGTTTACTACTCTAACAAGCAACGTACATGAGCACTATTTTTCTTCTCTTCTTTGGGTGGGGCAGGGGGGAGGAGCTTTGGAGAATAGATAAACAAAATCAGCCAAGATCAGCATCTAAAATACCCGAAATATAAAGCAAAATTAAACGGGATCACAAATTTGTTTTTCCTTTTTTTCTTTAGCCAGTTAATAATACATTTCTCTAAGATGTCCCATATTATTCAGATAACAAATTAACCTGCCCACTAAAACTAGCCAAAACATACTCATTGTTTGTAAGTTTAGTAATGTATACAATCACATTAAGAAAATGTTAGTGTTTTAAACAGAAAAAACTTTACATAACTGATAAGAATTGTTTCTACAATTCCTTATTTACTGAGCTTAAACCAAATAGAATAAACTGATTCACTGGGGCAAGTTATAACTTACAGCTACTAGACATTCTTCTACAAAAGGTGTCAAGACATGGGGGCGGATGGTGACCATGATGTCTCGGAAGTCAATGGCTGTGACTCTTCCGGTCCTGGCATTGTCCCGTTGCACAAAGGCTTGCTTTGCATGCTCCAATTGTATTTCCTACAAAGAAAGAAGGTAAAATATTTAATTATGTTTTTTGCTTAATTACTACAAATGACTGCTCATTTTCAAATCAGGCTGAAGAAATACGGATCACATTTTGATTAAACAAACCCTCACCTGCTTGTTTAGTGCCCTCAAGCAACCGTCTCCTTCTGAGAGAGAACTTTGCTTAGACCAGGGAACGTGTCTTGAGAAAGTACACTTCATCTTAAATCTCTACCCAAAGAAACCAAATCACGTCTGTGCTCTGCTAGAGTCGAAGAACACAAAGAAAATGGAAAACTGGAATGAAGTTTGGTAGGTTCAAAGATCTGGCCAAACCCAGCTGAGGTGGTACAGATGATCAAAGGAAGAATGCCTACAGGGACACTAACCTGTCTCCAAAGAAAAGAGAAAAATTCCTTCCTGCAACTTGGTGCACAAACATGTGATGTAACAAAAGATGATAAAGAGCAGTTCTCCTCTAGAATATGCTATTCCTCTAACACAGGGTTTCTCAGCCAGGGCACTGCTGGCATTTTGGACAGGTTAAATCTTTGTTATGAGGGCTGACCTCTGCGTCCTTACCTCTTCCCACTAGTCAGCAATAGCCCCTTCCCCAAGGTCATGACAATCAAAAGTGTTTCCAGGCAGGGCCGTATGTCCTGGTTGAGGACTGCTGCTCTAGTATAAACAGCTGGATGGTACGTGGGTCAGAGGCAGCAAAGCTGTGGCAGTACCTTTGCATACATGTTTAATTCATATGCTCAAAAGACAAAAAGTCCAATTGTAGATCTCTGTTGCTATTCCCAGGGGATAAGTGTGTACACAAAATTAAACAGAGCCTCTCCTCTAAACTCATCGTGTGTCATATAGGAGAGCATCCCTTTTGCAGAGAGCATTTTATTATCTTCCTCATGACACTCTGCCCATTTCCCAAATGGCCTTTAGAGTAAGAGATAATCTCTATGCGATTAAAAGCATCACCAATGTGGCTCTCAAGGACTCCACATTATTTAAACGAAATGAGGTTTTATTAGAAGATATCAAGGATTTACTTTTTTTTAACTTTGGTGAAATAATGACTTATCATTGTGTAAAAATTAGTTGTCCTTATGAATGAGTGCAAACTAAAATATGAGAGAAATGATGTAAGTCTGATACTGCTTTAAAGTATACTATCTCTCTCTCCTTCCCCCAGAAAGGTGAGGAGATAAAAGAAGATTGATAAAATAGTGATAATAATTGAAGTTGGATAATGGGCTCATGGTGGATCATTACACTTTTCCCTCTACTATTGTGTGGACTGAAAATGTATACATTTTAAACATGGAGAAGATAAGATATTTAATATTAAGAATCAGAGTTCTTATCCAATCCAAAATCTTCTTCTCAGTTATAGCATCTGCCAGTTTTGATCTAGCCTGTCCCTGCTGAAACTCTCTTCTGGGACCCTAATCTTTCTGGAGCATCCTCCACCTGCTCCTCGTATGGGAGGTATCTGTAAGTCCTCTGTCTTCACGTCTTCTCACTCTCCTGTCCTAGGCAAAGTGCTCCCTTCCCACCAAGCCCTCAAGGATTTCTTATAAGCTAAGGCTTGACTTCCACATCCAAATCTCATTCCTATCCATCTCACTCCTGTTGGCTGGACCAGAATTTCTAACCACTCAGAGAATAAGTTCATGGGGGTCTCTTGTAAAGGCCACAAAATCACACATCACTGAGCTCACTATTGTACACCCCTCGCCCATTGCTCAAGCCTAATCCCTCTCCTATGTTCAAAGCTTAATTATTGGCATGTTGTTTTTCTGGTCACCTGCCTAGAAAGCTTTCATTTTCAATTCTTCAAGCTTCCTCTCCCCCAGAGTAAACCAGTTACCAAATCACATCCCTTGGGCCTTTGAAGGTTCACTCAGATGCATCTTTTCCTTTTTACTTCTGATGCTACTGGTCCAGCCCTCCATAGTCCTCGCCTATGTTATCATCATGGCCCTCACTGTCAGTCTGAGCTGCTTTGACCTCTACACCACACCCTGCATGCATCAAAAGTTACCTTTCAGACAGATCTGACTTGTCTCTCCCTCTGCAGAATGCCCCAATGACCCTTCATCATAAAGACCCATCTTTGAAGCAGGCCACTCTCAGCCTGGTCTCTACCCCTATGCCTAGCCCTGCCAGACCACCCACACACCTGGGCTTTTGCCCACCCTCTTCCATCCACCTAGCACAGACTGCTGCCCCTTTCTCTAGCTCCTAATACTACTTCCTCCAGGTATAGTTCAAATGCCACCACTTAGGTAAATATAACTAGGCCTCATAACTGAAAGCAACTTATCTGTTTTATGTGGTCCCTGGCTGAACTTCAATTATAAGACTTGTTTATTCCATCATATAATCATTATAAACAGCTGATTTCATTCCTGTCTTTCCTCCTACCTTGCAAGGGAAAAGACATTATGTCCTATTTATGTCTCTCCCATTTACGCCGTTGGGCAGAATAGAATGCTTTAGATATAGTAGACACTCACTTAACCACAGACATTATCATCAGTGATAGGTATTCTATAAAACCTACTGGATGAACAAATCATGATCTACTGAACCAGAAGGGGATCTCTGTATGAGTGCCTCCAATTCAAGAGGAAGGAAGAAAGCAACTCTTAAACACCCTGTAGTGAAAAATAACCACAGTATGTATTCAATTGAAAGTAAATGAACACAGTCTCCTTTGAATTGCCAGACCCACTGCTAAAGCTATCCTAAGCCAAGATTACTCTCAACAATAGTTGAAGTATGTTCAGCTGTTTACCATTTTCCCTAGTTTATACCTCAAATGAAGTCTTGGGGATCCTCAGACCATTACACCAAAAACAACATTGCTTTCCCCAGCCACCCCATGTTCTCAGAAAGCAGGAAGCAAGAACGTTAAGACCAGCCTGTCTATAATGCAAAATTGGGCAGTGGATGTCAAAGTGGGGGCCGGTGCTCACACTGAAGGACAGGGGACGCACCTGTGATGAGGACAGCATCACTACACATCCCCATGCCTACATCTCCACGATTTAACACTTACTAGCAAGAATCCCTCCATCACGGAATAAGAAAGCTCTTCCAAACCTGATGATGAGCAACTTGAGAATACACTTCCAACAGCTCTTAAAGATTGCGGACATTATCAATTCCATGAAGAACAGGAAGTAGACCTATGTAGTTCTCTAAATAGTAGGAGAGCATGAACACATGTAGCTAGGTGGTTCTCCACCTTTAAAAGGAGCTTACTGAAGTTGTGGGTTGTCTTCTGAAGAACATCTGTTTATGTCCTGTTTCTTCTTTTGGGTGAAGAAATGAAACTATTACCTCAACAAATGCAACAATCATGATAACAGCATTGAGTGAGCATATATTTCACATCAGATGCTGTTCTAAAGCATTTCATAGGAATTAATTTGTTTAATGCTCACAGAAACCCTATGAGGTAGGTACTATTATTCACCTCATTGTAGCAGTTGAGGAAACTAAGATCTCACTGACAGGAAGCAGCAATGCTGAAATTCAAATCCAGGCTGTTCCACCCACTTGACAACGCTTTTAATACTTCACTATTCTGCATGGAGAGCCCCAGCTAAGTCTGTCAGGAATCTGATCAAAAAATATATCTGACACTTAGAAATCTTCAGAGCTGTGGAAACATAAACACCCATTTTGCTTTTAAGTTACTCTTAATGCTCCATATTTTGTTGCCTATCTTCGTGGGAAAACAGTAAAATTCCTACAAGTCTTCCATTAAGGCAAAAGCTTTCTATGCACCCAGAGCACCAGCTGGGACTGTTTTACCAACCATTGCAGAGACCATGGAGGGGAGAAACCAAATCTCAAAGGCCTTCCCTTGGCCTTGCTCACTTTTTGCTCTCTTTCCCACAGCCCCTAGAGACTGAGGAGAAGAAAAACAAAAACAAATCAGGAAGCCAGTGGAAGCTAACACATAGGTAACTCCACAAATGTTTAATTCAAGAATGTGTGATCTTTGAAGTAAATGCCAAGGCTCACTATTCATGGCAGAGTGACTTAAAATCAAAGCACTCGGTTGGCACCTCAAAAGTTATTTAAGGAAAACCTAATGTATACTTAGGGTTACCAAGAGACTGATCATTCCTAGATCTGAACCCAGAAGGAATAAAACTGAGAGAGATTTTAGGACACATGAAAGACAGCATATGTAAAATATATTCATTTCCAAAACGAAGGGGACCAGAATGGATAAACGAGTAAATAGGTAGAGAAATAGGTGGAGTTCAAATAGCAGTCACGACATTACTACCTGGGAGAGATCAGATGACTGTGTTTGCATCTCATAGCCTCGGGTCCTCCTCTGCAAAACAGGCACACCAACACCTACTGGACCAGTTGTAAAAACTAGAGGTCATGCATGACAGGCATTTAATAAACGATAGCTTTGATTTTTGCCCAGGTGAAAGGTTCACAAACCTCTGAAGTCCCTTCCAACGTGGAAGAGCAGTTCTGCTGAGTTATTCTGCACTAGCCACAGGAAAACAAAGGTGAACATCAGACAGGGGGAGAACAAGAACAGCTGAATGCGCAAACCCTTGCTACAGGCCAGGGGCTATGCCAAGAACTTCAAAGACAGCCTTTCATTTAAACCTCACAATAATCCTCCGAAGTAATAATTATCATCTTCATTTGATACAGAAGCACCAGGAGCTCAGAGAGGTTAAGTAACTAGCCCAAAGTCACACAGCTAAGAAGTAGCTAAGATCCACATCAAGGTATGTCTGATTTAAAAACTCAGATTCTTAAGTACTAACTTATGACGTCTTGGGCAAAATCATAAGGAAGGGGATCTTAAGGAGTTTGGACAGATAACAGGAAAAGAGATTTTAAAAACAGTTTTGATGATGACTTGAGTATAAAAATGGATCAAGATACATCTCAAAGAATTCTTATCTTGGATGATGGGGGAGTTAGAATCCACCAGAATCTACCACAAAGGAAAATACTTA